TAGCTAGAGAAGTAAGAAAAAAGAAGTGAAAAAGATATAAATAGCAAAGTAAAAACTAAATATCTCTATCTGCAGATAATATGAGTACACATATATTTCTGAGTATACAGAGGATTTCCTAAAGCCTCCACCAGAAAACTCACAGACATGATAAGCACTTAAAAAAAACAATTATGTGTACAATGCTCTGCCTCCATGTATGCCTGCACATCAGAAGAGGGCCCCAGATCTCATTATAGATGGCTGTCAGCCAATATGTGGCTACTGAGAATTGAACTCAGGACCTCTGGAAGAGCAACTAGTGTCCTTAACTCTGAGCCAAGCACTACCAACAGTGATTAGCATTAAAATTAACATGCAAAAATCAGTAGCCTTCCATATTCTGGATAATAAACACACTAAGAAAAAACTCTTTTTGAGTAGTAATCTCACTCAAAGTTATATATTCTATCAGCCTCCAAATCACAAGACTGGAGAAAGGAGTAGTAACGGGGGTCCTCTTCCCATTTTCTACCATGTAGGCTTGCTGCTTGGCTGTACTGTCCTGTTTGTATCATCACCATGACTACAAGGTCTTCTATAGTCCTCCTACCCCAAAAGCTCTGCTTTAGGATGGTTATAATCATGTCAAGTTCATCAGATATTGCTTAAAGTGTTCTAGACCAGCCCAGTCAACATAGCAAGCTCCAGGTCATCTGGAGATACTGTGACTCAAAAACTTAGGAATTCTGCTTTTAGTTATATCCCTCACAAAATTCTGAGTGAAAGAAAATACCATGATATATGAAAAACAGAATTTCATACAAAAGATCTATCATCATAAAATGATGAATACTGAACTTAATCGTATACAATGTATCTCTGAAAGGTCACGTGTAGGGTATGATTCCAACATGTGAAGACAAATTACAGGAGTATACAAAACAATACATGGTAAAAGAATACCAGAAGGGAAGGGCACAAAGAGCCACCCCAGAGAAGGAAGACACTCAAAAGACTGGTAAGACTTACGGCAAGACAGAAGCAATCCTATACACATGTACCTACATGTACACTGAGTTCCATTTCTCCTATTTTGCTTACACTTCATATTCCAGTATTTTGCACTTAACAAAACTCTGTACCTTCAAGGATGGCAACAGTCAAAGGTAGTTAGATGTCCAAAGACAGACACCCACCTACATTTTCCAACACATCTCAAATACTTACTTAGAAGTTACTTTGCAGCAAGCTACATGGCTTACTGGGTAGACACTCCCTGCAGAAGCCTGACAACTTGAGCTCAAGTTCAGATCCCACAGCAAGATAAAAGAAGTAAATACCTAAAATGGTCTTGATTTCCACACATATGCTGTAACATAAGCAGGTCCACTCATACACACACACACACACACACACACACACACACACACATTTTTGAATGTCTGCTTTTGCTAAAAAGTATTGCCTCCTTCCTTGGCCACAGAAGTCCCATGGAATAGCAGAACAATCAAAAGTCAGAGAGAGCCATCTACATCACTCCATCCTCAGAAGGGAGCAACTACTGCTGAGAAGGCTATGACTGGAGAAGTAATCACCTTTGAATGGCTTCTTTGGGCTACCTTCTAGGACCACACTTTACCCAGGACTGCTCAGTTATGCCTACCCATGTTCCTTGCCCATATTCTTCTTAACCCAAAGCTCATGTTGATATATTAAAGACAAGACAGGTATGGGGTCACTAGATTACTGTATTCAACATAAGAAAATCCATCAATGTAAAAAAATATGAAAAAGAAAAACCACATGATCATCTCACTAGATGCTGAAAAAGCCTTTGACAAAATTCAATACCCCTTCATGATAAACGTCTTGGAGAGATCAGGGATAACAGGAACATACATAAACATAATAAAAGCTATATACAGCAAACCAACAGCCAACACCAAACTAAATGGACAGAAACTCAAGGTGATTCCTCTAAAATCAGGAACAAGACAAGGATGCCCACTCTCTCCATACCTCTTCAATATTGTACTTGAAGTTCTAGCTAGAGCAATAAGACAACAAAAGGAGATCAAGGGGATACAAACTAGAAAGGAAGAAGTCAAACTTTCACTATTTGTAGATGATATGATAGTCTACATAAGCGACCCAAAGAATCTACCAGGGAACTCCTACAGCTGATAAACACCTTCAACAAAGTGGCAGGACACAAAATTAACTAAAAAAAATCAGTAGCTCTACTATATATAGACAATAAAGCCAATGAGAAAGAAATCAGAGAAACATCACCCTTTACAATCGCTACAAACAACACAAAATATCTCAGGGTGACACTAACCACACAGGTGAAAGACCTGTATAAAAAGAACTTTGAGTCTTTAAAAAAAGAAATTAAAGAAGATACCAGAAAATGGAAAAATCGCCCAGGCCCTTGGATAGGTAAGATCAACATAGCAAAAATGGCAATCTTACCAAAAGCAATCTACAGATTCAATGCAATCCCTATCAAAATACCAGCACAATTTTTCACAGACCTGGAAAGGATAATCTTTATATGAATAAACTTTATATGGAAAAACAAATGACCCAGGATACCCAAAACAACCCTGTACAATAAAGGAACTTCAGGAGGCATCACCATACCTGACTTCAAGCTCTACTATAGAGCTATAGTGCTGAAATCAGCTTGGTATTAGCACAAAAGCAGACAGGTAGACCAATGGAATAGAATTGAAGATCCTGCTATTAACCCACACACCTTTGAACACCTGATCTTTGACAAAGAAGCTAAAACTATACAATGGAAAAAATAAAGCATCTTCAACAAATGGTGCTGGCATAACTGGATGCTGGCATGTAAAAGACTGCAGATAGATCCATATCTATCACCATGCACAAGTTCCAAATGGATCAAAGACCTCAACATCAATCCAGCCACACTGATCCTCTTAGAAGAGTGGGACGTACTCCTTAATGAATTGGTACAGGAGACCACTTCCTGAACATAACACCAGTAGCACAGACACTGAGATCAACAATTAATAAATGGGACCTCCTGAAACTGAGAAGCTTCTGCAAGGCAAAGGACACAGTCAACAAGACAAAATGACAGCCCACAGAATGAGAAAAGATATTCACAAACCCCACATCTGACAGAGGGTTGATCTCCAAAATTTACAAAGAATTCAAGAAGCAAGCCTCCAAAACACCATAGGATTCAATTGAAAAGTGGGGTACAGAATTAAATAGCGAATTCTCAATAGAGAAGTCTAAAATGGCTGAGAGACACTTAAAATGCTCAACATCCTTAGCCATCAGGGAAATGCAAATCAAAACAACTCTGAGATACCATCTCACTCCTGTCAGAATGGCTAAAATCAAAAGCACTAATGACCATTTATGCTGGAGAGGATGTGGAGACAGGGGAACACTCCTCCACTGCTGGTGGGAATGCCAACTTGTGCAGCCACTGTGGATATCAGTATGGAGATTCCTCAGGAAAATGAAAATCAGCCCACCACAAGATCCAGCAATTCCACTCTTAGGCATATACCCAAAAAATATACACTCAAACAATAAGGACATCTGCTCAACTATGTTCATAGCAGCACTATTTGTAATAGCCAGAACCTGGAAGCAACCTAGAATACCCTCAACTGAAGAGTGAATAGAGAAAATGTGTGGTACATTTACACAATGGAGCACTATTTAGAGGAAAAAAAAAACAATGGAATCTTGAAATTTGCAAGCAAATGGATGGCACTAGAAGAAAACATCCTGAGTGAGGTAACCCAGTCACAAAAAAACAAACATGGTATGTACTCACTCATATATGGATTTTAGACATGGAGCAGGGGATTGCCAGCATACAATCCCACTGCCAGAGAGTCTGGGAAACAGGGAGGACCTTAAGAGAGATTGTGTGGTAACCAGGATCAGTGTTATGGGAGATCTCCTAATTGGAATGGGAGCATGGGGGAGGGGTGGGGAGAAGAGAGGGAGATGGGAGAGAGGGGGAGAAGAGGATGGGAGAGGAGGACACAGGGGAGCAGAAAAGGTTGAGTCAGGTTAAGAATAGAGAAAAGAATGATGAGAGATACCATAATAGAGGGAGCCATTATAGGTTGAGGAGAGATCTGGCACTAGTGAGATTTTCAGAGATCTACAAGAATGACACCAACGGGCATTAAGGCTACCTTAAATGCCCTCCCCTGATAATGAGATCGATGACTAAGTCATATGCCATCCTAGAACCCTCATCCAATGGCTGACGGAAGCAGAGGCAGACACTCACAGCTAAAAACCGAACTGAACTCCTGGAACTCAGTGGCAAAGAGGAGTGATGAGCAAAGGAATCAAGACCCTGGTGGCGAATCCCACAGAGGCAGCTGACCTAAGCAAGCGAGGAGCGCATGGACCCCAGACTGATGACTGAGAGGCCAGCACAGGACTGATCCACGTCCCTCCTCCCCCCCAAATCTCGGTGTCAGAGGAGAGGCCTCAGCAATCTATGGGACCTTGGAGAATAGATCAGTATTTATTCCTAGCATACAAATAGACTCTGGGAGCCCATTCCACATGGAGGGATGCTCTCTCATCCTGGACACATGGGGGAGGGCCTAGACCCTACGCGGGATGATATGAGAGTCTGAAAATCCAGCATAGAAGACCTTACCCTCCCTGGGGAGCAGAGGAGGAATGGAGTGGGTTGGTGGATATGGGGGACTGGGGGGCTGGGGAAGGAGTGGAAGGAGAGGGAACTGGTAGTAACATGTGTAAAAAGTTAAATAAAAAAATTATTATAAAAAATACCTATGTGGTAAGATTGAATAAATCTCTTTCTGTTTTCCTCAATGCCTACTTCCTTAACTGGCATGTTTAGATAGGAACTGAGTGTTGCCACTGAGGTCAATATTCAGGACTTCTGCCCTGAAAACTGTGGCTAAGTAACTATAGGCACAGAAATTGTTTGAACTCAAAAATAAGAGAAAAAGAAGAGGCAGACCACTGGATAATGCTGTGTAATGTGATTTATTTAAAATCATTTCCCAATTTGTCCAATGATTTAGCAGGCTTTCTTTTACTTTCACGTCAACAATCAACACACATTTGTATTTTATTTTGTATAACCATGTATGCTATTTTAACATTTTATTAATACCAGAGACCAATTACTGACTGGTGAGTAGTGCAGATTTCAAATAGATCCTTGGTAGCTATGGTGTCATGGCTGGATTTTTGGCATTTTGGTGATGGTGGCTGCTCCCTCAGGCCCTTGTCTCCAACCTGTTGCAAGACTTTTAAGCAGCACACACCTCCACTCAAGGCTTCTTTGTTGTCTTCAAAAGATAAACATAAATGTATCTTTGTCTGTATGTAAGCCCATGGGACTATTCCCCATCAATCCCATATACTGTCTTTTGTTTCTGTTCTTTGAAAAACAAAACCTATCCTTCTTCTGTAACCCTGATGGCTTCAAGTGCTATTGCAGGTGTGAGATTATGGCTTAGTTTCACTTACATTTTTCTTTCTTTCTTTTTAGTTTCTTTTCTTCATTTTCTTTCATTTACTTTTATTTCATCTGTATTCACTTTTCTTTACCTATAAAGTATACTTTCCACACTCAAACATGATTTTATTGAAAATAAGCACAAACCCAAATATTCTTAATGTAATTCATCTAAATTAATAGATAAGACTGCTTTTCTTAAATTTTCATTCATTCCTACCTTAAAAGACAACCATAAAGTCACACCTGAAATATAAATGAATTTAAAAGGACAAAATATACCTTTCAAAGACAAAAATGCAATGATCAAGACAATCTACTGTATAATTTATCAAAGTCAACAGAAGATAGTACTAAATAGCCATCTTCAAATACATTATTAACAACACTCTCCAAGAAAAATTAAGCAAAACAAAACAGACGTGGGGGACAGGATGGGAAGATAAGATGAAAACTTTCCCCAGATAAAACCACATGGATATAAAGAATTCAAGATTAAACTTCTAAAACAAAATTTTAAACATAAGTTTGTTGGTTTGGGGATAAATGTCAGAGTGCTTGTCTAGCATGCATGAAGTCCTAGTCCTGAGCTTTAATCCCCACTACCAATTCAAAGGGCAAGGGGAGAATCCTTTCCCCTTTTTGGATAGAAACAGGATAGGGCATTTCTTAGTAATCGTTTGCTAATTATGTTAAGAAAAACTGGACTCACCCATTCCACCAAGAGCCAAATGAGTTCTTCCCATAATGCTGTCTTTCACATTACTAAAACATTATCAGTTATTTGGGTCAATTTCATGTTTAAACAATTTCAAATGATTCATGTATGTAGAATTATTGGAGCTGGGTCATTTAAAATTATTTGAATCATCATGATTAGGCAAATCTGAGCAGCTGCTCTGACAGTGATATGATGAGAATACACGAGACATTTGAAATCATCCTTTTAAAAACACAAAACCTATGTGCTACTAAGTAGTAAAAGTAGGTCATATCTCACATGTGCTTAACAAGGAAGAACTCTGAGCAAGCCTTATGAGGAGAGATCTAGTAACAGCACGCACTGTCTATTTTAACACTGATTCCCTACACAGGTTAAGAATGTAACATTAAGCAAAAAATGAAAACCATTGTTATATTACAAAAGTAGCAAAACACAGAACAGAGGAAATGAGCTTGGTGTGGGTCCCAGAGATCCCACTATGATTCTGAACCAAATTTTAATACAAAGGCATTTACATACAGCTTCCATGGCTGTTTCTACTAGAAAGGTTCAAACTAAATGAGGCGTGAGTGGCCTATGTTGTCAAAGACAAATCCACGTAATTAAAAGTCCCATGAAGTGCCTCAGCTGGCTACATCATCTCCCCTGCTGCTGAAGGTACCTAATAGATGAGGGTCACCTACTGTGGCTTACTTACTGTCTGCACTCAGCAGCAAACAGGACAATGGACGTCTTTTCAAATCTAATACTTTATGATTACAGACAAGCAATCCTAAGCACACTACCTTTTAAAATTCTAGAGTTAAGATAACCTCATTATTTTGAATACTGAAACACAAAAGGGCCCACATGAACTAGCTGTGTTAAATAGCCATTTCCTACGTTCATATTCACTTGCTGTTCTCTTAAAATCGCTATGAGAGAAATGGGAATTCTCTGTTATCTTTTGGCAATAGATTGAAAAGCAAAAGTTTCAGGCCTGCAGAATTTCATGAAGTCTGCAGTTTTTAAAGCTAAACTATTTCATATTCTTGAATTATTATTGCACTCATATGCTGCCCGGAATATGTCTACAACAAAATTAAGGTAAGCATGTCCACAAGCATTTGCTTTCCTTATTAGATAAGCGTGCTCTCACAAAGGAAATGCAAACTGCAATTTAAATAAGCCTATATGTGTACGACAAATTATCAACCCCTTACATAATGAAATCCAACCCTCAATACTACAAATGTGTGCAGAACCAGAAGGGGATTACTGTCCACAAAGTCCTGACTACAGATGCATTTCACTTTGAGATCACTGAGCTAAAACAGCAGTTTCTCAAGACTTAAGAAAAATAGATTTTAGGAAAGACTCTTTTAAATCACTGAATACATCATTTCTGCCATTAAGAGAAATAACTTAAGCTTTTCTCTGCAATAATTCATTCTAATGAAGTAACTCTCTAACTCCTAATAAACAGTACATTTACAAGAGTAAGGGAATTATCAGTAGGCATTCTTCCTTGTTTTAGGTTATTTGTCTCTAAAATATGTCAAGTAAGCTTTTAAAGACTCGGGGAGCGGCAGCTTCATGATCTTTTCCCTCAGTAAGTTCTGAGGTGGCTCCTCAGGCTTCATGGCTTCACCAGGATCTTTCTCCTCCTCTCTGCTGTCTTCTTCCATTTTCTCATCCTCCTCACTGTCTAGAGGCTGAGGAATAAGCTGATTACCCACAAATACATAAGTGTTAATTCTCTGCTTGACTCTCTTTCTTTTCCTCTTGGGTGGAGCCCTTTGCGGAATTCCCTTGGCTTGCATCTCATCATTGATGAAGTTTCTAAGTGTGCGTCGAATGTAAATACGAGCCAAGTCTTGGAGATTCCTGACAGCACACGGGGCTAAAACAAATGTAAAAATGAAAACATTATAAACTGCTTGTTTCTTTACAAACTTTAGAAAATGGCAAACTATTAAAAAAACTATATTGACAGCGCTTAATACACAATGGCTTTAATGCACACTAAGCAGGACAGTCAATACTGAAAAGTGAGCTCAACATCCCTGCTGCTATCTCTTTGCATGCAGAGTCTCAGGAACAGGGTATGGACAAAATGTAAGCATATAAGAGATTATACCCTATATATTACTTTATACTGGTTTTTTTGTTATATGGAAGGTGTTGATCACAACTCCATTCATAATTCAAATCTCAAAGGAACAGATACCTTTTTCTGGTCTGTGAGGGACCAGGTATGCACAAGTTGTACATGTGTACATGCAGGCAAAACACTCACACAAATAAATTCAACAGAAATATAATTTTTTGTTAAGAAAACAAATAAACCATATGGAGACAAATACTTACTGGAAAAACTCAATGCAGTATTTCAATGGCTGCCTGAACTCTGAAGCTGTAGGAGTGCACACATATGGGTGTGTGTGTGTGTGCGTGTGTGTGTGTATGTGTGTGCGTGTGTGTGTGTATGTGTGTGTGTGCATGTGCATGTATGTGCTCACATATGGGCATGTGTGTGTGTATCTGCTCATATATGGGCATGTATGTGTACGTATGTGCTCACATATGGGCAGTGTGTGTATGTGCGTGTGTGTATGTGTGTGTATGTGCTCACATATGGACATGTGTGCGTGTGTGTGTATGTGCTCACATATGGACATGTGTGTGTATGTGCATGTGTGTGTGTGTGCTCACATATGGGCATGTGTGTGTATGTGTGTATGTGCTAACATATGGGCATGTGTGTGTACATGTGTGTGTGTATGTGCTCACATATGGGCATGTGCGTGCGTGTGTGTATGTGTGTATGTGCTCACATATGGGCATGTATGTGTGTGTGTATGTGAATGTGTGTGTATATGTGCTCACATATGGGCATGTGCATGCGTGTGTGTATGTGTGTGTATGTGCTCACATATGGGCATGTGTGTGTATGTGTGTATGTGCTAACATATGGGCATGTGTGTGTATGTGCGTGTGTATGTGTGTGTATGTGCTCATATATGGGCATGTGTGTGTATGTGTGTATGTGCTCACATATGGGCATGTGTGTGTACATGTGTGTGTGTATGTGCTCACATATGGGCATGTGCATGCGTGTGTGTATGTGTGTATGCGTGCATGTGCTCACATATGGGCATGTGTGTGTGTATGTGAATGTGTGTGTATATGTGCTCACATATGGGCATGTGCGTGCGTGTGTGTATGTGTGTGTATGTGCTCACATATGGGCATGTGCATGCGTGTGTATATGTGTGTGTGTGTATGTGCTCACATATGGACATGTGTGTGTATGTGCATGTGTGTGTGTGTGCTCACATATGGGCATGTGTGTGTACATGTGTGTGTGTATGTGCTCACATATGGGCATGTGTGTGTACATGTGTGTGTGTATGTGCTCACATATGGGCATGTGCGTGCGTGTGTGTATGTGTGTATGTGCTCACATATGGGCATGTATGTGTGTGTGTGTATGTGAATGTGTGTGTATATGTGCTCACATATGGGCATGTGCATGCGTGTGTGTATGTGTGTGTGTATGTGCTCACATATGGGCATGTGCGTGCGTGTGCGTATGTGTGTGTGTATGTGCTCACATATGGGCATGTGCGTGCGTGTGTGTATGTGTGTATGTGTGTATGTGCTCACATATGGGCATGTGCGTGCGTGTGTGTATGTGTGTATGTGTGTATGTGCTCACATATGGGCATGTGCGTGCGTGTGTGTATGTGTGTGTGTATGTGCTCACATATGGGCATGTGCGTGCGTGTGTGTATGTGTGTGTGTATGTGCTCACATATGGGCATGTGCGTGCGTGTGTGTATGTGTGTATGTGTGTATGTGCTCACATATGGGCATGTGCGTGCGTGTGTGTATGTGTGTGTGTATGTGCTCACATATGGGCATGTGCGTGCGTGTGCGTATGTGTGTGTGTATGTGCTCACATATGGGCATGTGCGTGCGTGTGTGTATGTGTGTGTGTATGTGCTCACATATGGGCATGTGCGTGCGTGTGCGTATGTGTGTGTGTATGTGCTCACATATGGGCATGTGCGTGTATGTGCGTATAGTGGGAGAGAGACAAAGAAAGAGGGAGGCAGAAGGCGTAAGCAAGCACACACACTGGTTCATGGTAAAGGACCATCAGGTACGAGCTGTGGATAAACAGACCCCCAATACAAGAGGCACTGTTTTAAGATGCTAACGTTTACTTTTATCAAATGCATCACAAAATGAAGGAAGAAGGACCATAAACCAATTGTACAAAATACCAAGTGTGCCTTTGATCCAAATTGTTCAACAAATTACTTAACAAACTACTTGGTAAACAATAGGCCAGTCACATAAGAACCCATTTAGATACATGACTAGTTTAAACTAGAAAACTCCCTGAACACAGGTAGCTCACATTTATGGTAGAGACAGGTTAAAAAGATGGAGAAAGGATGAAAAGGAAAAGAAGAAAGCAAAAGCAGAGGACACGAAGAAAACAGAAAGCAATCATGGATAGACAGCAGCTTCCTCTAGCGACAGGCAAAGGCCTCCCTGAGGAGACAGCTCTGCCAGAGTCTAAAGGAGCTGAGTCACTTCTAGCCATGAAATGGTCTGGGGCAGAGACAAGCAAAGCCCTGGCAGGTGAGCGGGCTCTGGGTTGTGGAGTTTGGAACAGCAGGTCAGTACACTTGAGTGAAAACATGAGCTGTGGCCACACTGACAGGAAGGGGCAGGAGAGAAGATGAGAGGAGCACAGAAACAAACTGGCTATGGGAGTAAAAGCAATAGTATCAACTGCAGCATACCGTGTCCACCCTGAGTTCTGGACAGGTGCCAGGGTCATAGACAAACAGGGTAGACACAAAGGAGAACAGGACAAGAGGAAACACGAGTGTGTTTGCTTGCACTGAATCTGAGATAGTCACTGCTATCAAAGGTCATTACAGGAGCTGTGTCACAAAGTACTGGAGACAGGGAGGTTGCTGGGACTTCCTCCAGCCTCGGCACGTGTATGCACAGGCATGTGCATCTCACACATGGGTATGCACATAACACACACACAAAAAAACAAACATTTCTAAAAAAAGTAAAACTATGTCTTTCCAGCCAGAGCTATTGAGTGACACCCTGTTTTCATGAAAATAAACAATTACAACAACAAAAAGGGAATGAATGAAAAGTCATTTATTTAGGTCGAGCCATAAAAAAAAAATCATTTTGGTTTCCCCCAACCCCCCAAAACACCTAACTTCAAGTATTAAATAAAATCCATAGAAACCAATGCTGCAAAATTGTATAATTTATTATGGATTCTCGGCCCCTATCTGGATTTAAACAATATACCCTTCTTTTTGAAATTTTAAATCATATTTCTATGGTTTTATATGCATATAAACCACATATACATAAAGCCATGGAAAAATATGATTTTAAATAAAATAAAAATTGTGATAAATCAAAGGAAAAACCGTAATTTCATTTTAATAAGCTATTGAATACAAGCAGTTTTATTCTTCACAGTCATTTGGCACAGAGTTTACACATGTATTGTTTTTAAGGATTTGGGGGACCAGTGTTCTAGTCCATTCTAATTCCCTGTCATTATCAGGACAATGTTCTATGAATAAAAAGATACTGTGACTTATTTTAGCAGAAACAGAAACTTGTTTGTATACCCCATTCTTTTATGGAATTTTAGCAAATAGCAATTTTTAAAACGTTTTCATTTTGTGATTATTATACAAAGGTTGAGCTGGGGATAGCAACTCTCAGAATTCTCAGCCTGTTTTTGGAGACTGTGTTTATACACAGAAAGATTTAATAATGAAAATGTGCCCTGGCCCTGAGATTAACATCTCTTCATGCCAATCCAATTTCATCAACCTTCCCTCTTTTCCACCCCCACCAAAACTATTTCTATTGAAAATGTATTTCAGGCAGAAACTGAACTGTTTGAATTTGGGCCTTTACATTCCAACTGATCCTACTTCACTAAGTGTCTGTCCTTCTTCTTGTTTTGTATATGGTGATGATGTGTGTTTGCGGATATACACATGTATGGAGGTCAGATGACAGCTGTTTTACTCCTCTGTGGGTTCCTGGGGTCAAATTCAGGTCATTAGGCTTGTTTCGCAAATACCTGTAGTCACTGAGCACTCTTGTTGGCCCTTGCTGAATTTATTTCCATTTTGTAGTCATACATACTTAGCCAAATATCCAATAGCTGACAGACTTATTTGCCATTTCTATTTTTGTGTAGGGGAATGGAAAAGGCTGCAGCACACTGTCCAGGCCAATCATCAGTTAATTAGCATGCAATCATACTTACAGCTAAAACTCACAAACATTAACCTAAAGGAAGTGTCAGATACAGAAGACAAAGCTGTTGCTACAACAGGGAAGCTTTCATGAGTAAAGCGCTTCCGTGGCTACTGTCCAAATCGCAGAGCCAAACAAAACATACTGCTGTGCATGCGTAAGGACACTACCACAGACAGCATAGGCCATGGAGGCTTTTAGTACTTTCCATTGGGCAAATAAACGACAGTGTCAAAAATAACCACAATTCTGTTTTTTTGAAAATGGGAGGGAAATAGCTATTTGTTATTTTTTGTTAGTTAATAATTTAAGTAAGTTCAGTTAGCACAGAATGGCATAGATATGCAGACTTCATCAAACAACCCTAAAACAGGTACAAGGACACTCATTTGATTGTGGTGCGGACACCCAGCACATACTCCTGCTTTAAGTAGTCAGGAAGGGTATTAATGTTGCAGCCCAGTAACTTCAAATTTCTAACAGAATGAGCTTCCTTTTTTCCTTAACCATCATTTTTAGTTTTTCTGTTGTATGTGGATGTTTTGAATATGCTTTGTTTCTTATACTTTGTAATTACCAAAAGTATACAGTCACTAAATACTTTTTTAAAAAGCTGGTTAAGAATACTTTCTAAATTATGAAATTTTCAAAAATGTTCAGCTTAATCTCTTTTTAAATAAGATGAATATAAAAACACAGGAGTGAAAATGGATGAATTTTATAAATGTTATCAATTCTTAAAAGTAGTAACCACATCTCCCAAGCACTCTCCAGGGTCCAGGTGAAGAAACCTTCAAGTCACTGACACCCCCAGAGAGTAATGCCACAGGTTCCATAGGTCTCTGCATCTTCTCTTTTAATTTTCCCAGGTAGAGAATAGTTTGAAGTTTGAGTGTTAAAAACAAACTGCTGACCACCAATGTCTATGATGCTGCCACAAAATTCATACACAACAGCTGGGCTCTGCTCATCCATGTGCATGGCTCCTCTAACTAGGTGGATAAGTCTAACAGAACTGTCCCTGTCATTGACCCTGCTTGGTAATCAAGCTGACACAGAAACCATTAAGCTATCTGACCTTAGGAGTCCATCCCTCAGATGGTAAGAACAGGGGAAATGGTATGACATAATGAATTTCCCAAGACTCCTCCCAACACTGTTTTTTACTAACCATTATTTTAGGCCACACACTAAGCCAAGAACTTTAGAAATATACTCCATTAAGTTTTTGAAGCCATTTGAAAAGTTCCAACATCAGATGGCTGATAAGAAAATCAAAAGAATATTGTTAATAAAATGAACTTTCTGTATAAAGTCGCATTCCCATGAAATAAAAGCAAATTAAATCAGGGTCCATTTGTAATGAAGAATTCTATTTAAAGGTTAACAAAGCCATGACTTATTCAAAGCTTGTTACCAATAGTCTTCCTCTTTCTCTCTCAAGGCCTTCTGTGTTCAGGTAAGATGCCCTCTCCTTGAGACTATTTTCTTGGAATCCCACATCCATACACCTAGATTCCTTGTTAACCATTGAGTCTTCCTGTTTTATGGCTGAATTTGTGGGTCACAGGTCCAACTTAAAACGCTCTTCTCTATCTCTACTCTCCTGAGGTGCTTTAATCTATTTGGTATCCAAGCACAGTTGAAGACATCATCTTTATATTGGAGATTCTCAACAGATACTTCAGTTGTAAAAGTTTGCACCCAAATGGTTTCCTGACACTTGTAGATATATAGGAAACTCAAAATCAACCTAAAGAAAATGTCTGCTATCTCTGTACTTCCTTCCTAACAATGTAACAGACACATTCAGCTAGTCTTTAGAGGGAAAAGCAATTCTTTTCCTCCACCCACACTCCCCACAATGTGGTATTTTTCTGCTTTCAAATAATTCTATCCATAGCCACTTCAGCAACCTTCACATTAACTAGTCTACTGCTCCCTTTCCTGGTGATAATTCATCCTCTCCAACCCCCAAACATGCTCCTGATTTGAACCTCTCATACTTTTATAGTCACTATCTCTGAAAGATGCTGCCACTCAGTGTAGTGGACTTGCCTATATATAGTCCCAGTACTCAAAGTAGAGGCCTATGGAGCAGGAGTTCAAGGTTATCATTGGTTTTTACAGTGAATAGGAAACCCTGACTCAAATAAAACAAACAAAACAAAAAAGCCCACAAAAACCACAAAAACAAAAACAAAAGAAAACAAGCAAAACAAATAAAAGATGCTGTCACAAAATCTTGCCCACATAGGTGCTTTGACTGAATTCTAATCATAATTCAAATGTGCCTCAGCAGACAAGCCTTCCTTCCTACCACCCTTAGACCAGACACTGTTCCACAACCAGTTACTGTCTACCACATCACAAACTAGCAAGTTCACAGTTGGTATTCCCCAATTCTTGTTTCCAGAAAGGATGCCACAGTGTCTAATACAATATAGACTTTCTTTTTTTTTCAAATGGAAGAATCAATCCACTCGTTGCATTACCATTGTTTTTAACTCATTATAGTTACATGATTCACTAAATCCAAAATGTGAGTGAAATACCATCAGAGACAATTCATTCTTTGAGTTCAAGGATCTACTTACGGAGTCCCACAGAATCTGGTGTGCCATTATCATTCTTACTAGGCTGTACTAGTGGTGCAAAGGAAACAGCAAGAATATTTTTACTTTCCCAAGTGTTTTGTCCAGTCCGCATAATCTGTGTTAACTATTTGGAGTAAAACAAGAAAGAAGCAATGTGATTACCTTAACATTAAACTTTTACAGGAATAATTGCCAATGAGAAGATAACATTTAAATGCAACCAAGTTATTTTCATTTAAGTATATATCATAATACAAAGAATCTACCACCCACTCCACAGGGAGTGTATATCTAGTACTTTTCGTCTGACCAAGATCTGCAGTTGGGGCATTCTCAGAACCCAGGGGAGAACCTACTACTATTATTTAACTAAATAGGCACTGTATTAAACTGTCCATCATGAGTAAAGCTTTTAGTCCTTATCAGAGATTAACAATTTGTCAAACTCCAGAGACAGAGAATGGATATCTGTAGAGTACTTGGACATAAATGCAATGTCTATAGCATACCTTCCCACACTCCCAAGGCTCAGGGATCATCACAGAATACCCAGAGGCTTGCTACACAAGAGTGTTTTCTGGACATGACAGAGCCATGGCACCCCTGGTTCCAGCACCTGCAGGTCAACATTCCAGCACTGGGGGGAGGAACCCATGAAGTCCCACCCAGAACTGAGGTAACTAAAGAAGGGATAAGTCAGGGTTTTTTTATGGATGGAGTCCCTGTTAGGTTGGCTCCAATGGGTGGCCCTACACCCATGTGTATATGAGCAACACTAACTGGATTCTTTAATTATTTTTTTAAAGGACACAAAGTTAGGAGCTAGACATGAGAGGAGAATCTAGAAGTTGTAGAGAGGGTAGTAGATGGTGAATATGATCAAAATATAGTTTGTGTGTATGAAATGCACAAAGAATAGGTTCATGTATATATGCCGGAACCTTCCTTTCTTAAAAAGGACTTACACATTTGTGGCCTGGGAAGGAAGGGAGCGTGCACAGGTACACACGTGGGAACCAGAGAAAGCTGGAGTTTCAGACATTTGGAGGACAACCACCTTTCACTTGAGTGCTAGGATACTAACTTTGATCCCCATGATTGCGGCCTCAACCTCACAGAAATCCAACTGCCTCTGCCTCCCAAGTGCTGGTATTAAAGGTGTGAGCTACCACCGCCCAGCTGCATAACTATTCTTAACAAGCGAACTATGTGTCTAGTCTCAAGGTGGAACCCTGAAAGCAAAAGGAAGGTGCAAATACAGCGAATTCCAGTCTGTATGTTACACTGAACATCTGGCAGCTTCTACAGGTATCACTAGTGATCTGGACACTACACTGCCTCCCAAAATAAACATCTGAAATGGGTTCAGTTATTTGGTCAAAGCATCATTAAAAAGAATACCAGTGAATTCACTTTACATTCTTCTCTAACAGTGATAAAACAGATTCTAACCTAATTTGACACCACAAATAAATACAGTCACAGCTGGAGAGATGGTTCAGCTGATCTAAGTGCTTGCTGCCAAATCTGACACCTGGATTTCATCCCTGAAACCCACAAGGCAGAAAGAGAAACCAACTCCGACAAGCTGTCCTTTGACCTCCAAACATGTTCTGTGGTATGCCCCCACAGACCCACATGTACATAATAAATAAGTGTAATTTAATGTTTTTAAGTAATCACATAAAAAGGAGTTGTATCAGTTCAACAAACATCCATAGTCTTAGCATGCCTGTGATTCCAGCACGTGTGCTAGACAGCAAAGTCTTGAATTAAGGTTAGCTTGAGATATGGAGGAAGATTGTGAGTCAGGAAAAACAGATCTTCAAACGCATTATTAAAGGAAATCAAAAGTGAGTTATTTTAAGCATAAACCTCGGAAGTGTTCAAGTAAATCAAGGAAAGTGTATGTATGTGTGCATATGTATTAAAAACAGTGCACACTGTATTCTCATTACCACACCTTCACACTGGGCCAGGCAAGTCCACTTTTTCTTTTACTATAAATGCCATGTGCACGTGTGTGTGTGTGTGCACATGCGCGTGTGTGTGCGCGTGCATGCATATGTGCGTGCCTGCCTGCCTGCCTGCCTGCGTGTTGCTAGAGATGGAACTCATAGTCTCTCCTGAGAGGCAAGCCCTCTACCACCCAGTCACATCCCTGGTCCTTCCAGAAACCTTTCTAATAATTTTTAGCATTCTTATCTAATGAGCCATCTTTTCCAGCCCCTCAAGGCATATTCTTTTTAATCTCTTGTTTATGAAGCTAAGCACTTGAAGCCAATCACAAGCCAGTCCCTGTATTCAGCTGAATATGTTCCAGATGAAGAACCAGGGATAGCTAGAGGATTGCCTGAATGAGCTGATTGCTCTAGTCTCCCAATTACACTTTCTCTCTACAGCTGCTTCAATTTGAAGCACTTTAGGATCTCTTTCAAGAGTCTTTATATGCAGGTATATAGAGGTATCTGCTTCAAAAGTTACAATGTATCTTTCCCCATCCCAGAACAGTAATTCCCAACCTCACATTTGTGTGGTCTCTCTTGTGACAAACGCAGGACAGAGAAGGTACCTGATCCTCTATAGGCATGACCAGTATTCCCCCAACTTTGAGCAAGATCTTCATGTAGTTTTCATGGTCTTTCTGGACTCCAGCTCCACAGTAAATTCGATCATATTGATGACTATCAGAGGCTATCTGAAGGCAATTACCCACCACAAATGCGGGTTCACAGAATTCAAATCTGTTTGAGAAAACAAACATTTTTTTTCATTTGTTTAAACAAAATATTAGCTCTCTGACAATTCACCATAGCCCTGTCCTTGAAACAGCAAGGCTACCAAAGTTAATTTTAAGGACAAAATACAAGTAGAAAATTTGATATAACATATATGTGGAATTTAACACTGATCAAGTATATTGTTTTGTTATCCATGATACAAACCACAAGATTTAACCTATTCTGGCCATACCGAAACCTTACATAGAACGTATAAATGAATATAAGGAAAAGCCCATCAAATGACAATCTTCAGAGATGAAAGCTAACAGTAGAGAAAGGCTTCACTCTCTGCTCTCTTCTCAGCAAAGAGAGCTCTTCCAGGACTCCTCTCCGATTGACTGTTGCTGGCAGAGGCAGCAGCACGGCCACCACCCTCTTGACTACTAAGGTTAGGTTAGCTTTAATAAAAAGGTGGCCAAGCAACTGACAAGACTGGAACCAAAGCAAACGGGTGGTGCCTTCTTAACTGTGGCTTTGGTTCCTATGACTTTCTTCAGCAATGCAAGGGGAGATGAGGCTTCTGGGTTCATCCAACCAAATACTCCTGGTTACAATGCTGGCTCCTGGTGATTTTATACATCAGTAAACCACCCTATATAGACTCTGACTTTACTCCTTAAATTCTGTCAAAAAGTAAAAAATAGACTATCATACAACATAAAATTAAAACCTGAATGCAAACACAATCCTTTTTCCCCTTAGACCTTGAATTCACTTTATAGCTCACGGTCATCTCAAACTCCTTCAAGTCCTTCCTAAGTTCATGCTTCTTAAATGCTTGAATTATAGGTGTGAATCACCACTCACAACCACAGCCAATCTTTTCAAACTAATTCTTAATCTTTTAAGTTGATAGTAATAAAATCATACCATAAGATTAAGCCATTATTTCCAAATGAAATAAATTTACAGGAGCATGGCATACACTGAAAGATGGCCAAATGACTTCGATCAGAGCTAATTTTACTTTATCAAGCATATCCTGCCCTTGATAATAACAGTGAACTTCCTTCATTTTAAATTCTCATTAAAACTTACTAGCACACGGATACATCAATGGACACACATTTAAAGCAGTCCACCAGTCTTGTGCCCTGAAAGTGGGGAAGGGTTAGGAGTGGGAAGGGTTAGGAGTTGGATGGTAGGAGTTAAAAACAGTGCACACTGTACTCTCATCTCTACACCTTCAAACTGAGGCAGGCATGTCCAGTATTTCTTTTACTGTAAATACCATCTCACTGTTTACATTTTTCAGAACTCCCTGCAGAGAATAAGAGGCTGCTATGTTCTGGATTTACTAGTTTCCTTTAAAGAACCTATGTGCTGTAAGCTGGTCCCAAGTATGGCAATGTCGACAGGCAATTAAATCTAAGAAGGGAGCCCTAGTAGGAAGTAACTAGATCATGAGGAAACCATCTCAAAGGGATTAATTGTCATGTCACAGGGGTAGGTTAGGACTCATAGCACTAATGGGTTGTTACAAAGCAAGATCACCCCCAAAATGTTGTACAATATCCCCAAACACATGTTCCACACGAGATGCTGTCTGCCATGGCCTGATGCATCCCAGGGCCCCACCAAGGGAGCTTGTGTTGTTACAACACAACAGACTTCCAGTTCAGCTGCAACCTGTACATACTTTGCTGAAGGGAGACTGAATTACTTGCCTCTAATTGCATGTGAGAACCATCACAAAGTATTCCTGTGCCTGTGTGTGCTGGTCCTCTGCCCTAAATTCCCCTCACCGGCCACCTGCTATTAATGGATGTCTCCTATACTTTCAAGTTACACTTAAAATATTAGCTTTACAATGAAATCTTAATCTGCAATGGTTTTAGCTTACCTACACTGGGGATATTTTAGTTTCTCTCACAGACAAGACTATATAACCCAACTTCTCTTTAAGATAGGTCAAAAGGTATTTTCTTTTTATGTTTATTTTATTATTCTATGTATATAGGAGTTTTGCCTGCATGTATGTATCATGTATCACATGCATGCCTGGTGCCTATGGAGGCCAGAGAGGGCATTTGGATTCCCTGGAAGTGGAGTTACAGATGGCTATGAGAAGCCATGTGGGTGCTGGGAATCAAACCTGGGTCCTCTGCAAGAGCAACAAATTCTTAACCAGTGAGCCATCACTCCAGTTCCAAAACAAGATTTTTTAATTTTAAATAAGCATGTTGTGAATCAGTTTAATTATTTTTATTAAATTTACAATAAGTGCTCTCTTAAAAAGGTTATTCCCAGTAAATTCTATCTGGAAAATCATCATTCTTATAAAAACTCATTTTAAATAGTAATTTATATTAGTCATATAACTTATAGAACACAAAATCTTCAAAAACTCAGAAGATTTAGAATTATTAAACTTCTTTTACAAGTCTATTAAGTCAACTAAAAACATACTTTACCGTTTTTGAAAACTTCCTACTACCTAAAATACAGGGCAGCTTACAGAACTAATACCTAACAAAACACCATTAGAAGCAAGCAACTTAAAATTAGAACCACAGATAATTATTCAAGAATTTTGTGCCTGATATTCAAACTAAATGTGTGCCGATGCACAAGTTCCCCAAAAGTAGTTCCTGTCCCTCTAGTCAAGAGAAGTCTAACTTTAGCTCTGGGTGCTCACTGCAAACACAAGTGAACGGACAAGACAAACAGTAAACACTTCACTCGTTGCAGTAAAATTTACGTTATGGTAAGTGCGTTAGCACTTAGGGGAGAGGAATGTGATTCTTTAAGTATGAAGGTGAAATGCATGACACAGACCTGGAGATCAGGGGCTTCCTGTGAAATTCGAAGCTGTGATCTGAAAGGTCAGACAGGATTGTCTAGAGCCACACTATCCAGGAAGGCAAACACTAACCACACAGACCCTGGGACTATAAAATGTGGCTAGCCCAATGAGTTGCACTCAATGTATAAAATTCACATAAACTTTCAAAGATTTTGTATGAAAAATAAACTATTCAAATAATTCTTTTACAATGCATACCAATAAGACAATGTTTACATAGTTACATCAAAGGACAAAATACCACACAAATGGTCACTTGCGTGTCTCAGGCAGACAGGTGGTATAAGAACTTTCTCCTTAACATACTGTTTTCCCTTTGGAATACTTTCCTGGTTTTTGGTTGTCTTTTGTGTGTTGCTTTGTCTTGTGTTTTTGTCATCTCTGAATATGTCTAAATTTAACTGCATCTGTATCACCTATTACGACCCCCTCCCAATGCATTTATTCAACTAAGGAAAATATGTAAGAAATACATATGCTTTATAAACCTTTTCTAACAACCAATATCAAATAAGATCTCAAATTACAAACAAAATATGATGATCACAAAAATCTCAAGATCTGAACAGGAATTTGCCTAGAAACAGCTATAGGAAAAGTATATACCCACTGCATCCACAGTGATGAGATGGTTCACAGGCCTGAGACTCACTGGTACCTGCAGCATCAAGTATATTTCCCCAACACAGGAAAAATCCAAGTGACTCTTGGCTTCAATGTCACATAGCTGAGTATCTATAATGCTCACTATTCTAGTAATAATCTAAATTGTTTTCTCTTCTCATGGAGATATGATGAAGTCTATTTACCTCAGTGTGTGGATAGAAGCATTAGTTTGGAAGAAAGACTCAATCTCTGATATTTACTAATACAAATGAAATATACACTCCTAATTCACTTACCTTACTACACTTTAACATACTAACTTCCTTAAATAGAACACTTAAATTTGAAATCCTAGTGGAACTAGAAAATATTCCAGGGCTGGTGAGATGGCTCAGAGGATAAGGTAGTCGGATGACCTAGGTTCAGTCTTCAGAGTCACATGGTATAAGAACAGAACTGACTCCCACAAGCTATTCTCTAACCTCCAAGTCTATGCCCCACCCACAACAAAATACATACAAAGAAAATTAAATTTAAATCCCAAAAGTACTGTACTATTTCTAGTAAAAAAAATTTAAAACAGAGACATATTTAAAACTGTGAAATAATGTTGGCAATAAAAACATATAAAGAATTTGTAAGTCAAATATACAACAAATAGTCACCACCAACTTAAAGAGTGTTAAGTAAATACAATAAAAAAGAAAACCAGAAAAGAAATATAAATTTCTCCCAAAAGTATTTCTTATTCAACCATTATTTATTATAACTATAATTATGGCTTAATCTTTGCTACCTGTAACACATGAACTTTCCACACTTGGTTAAGGAAAAAAATTAAAATTGCTTATTGTTAAAATTGTAGAGCCTTACATATGGATAGAGATTAATTTTCAAACAAAGCACTTCTAGATGCTTCTGAGTAGCATGCAGTGGAGAACTAGAAATGCTTTAGTAATGTTACAATACCTTTACAACAGCATCAATGAAATAAATTCACACCAGTCTACTGGAGAATGACTAAGATTCCACAACTGACATTTTTTCCAAAAATCTTATCATTTTAAAATGCCCCAATTGGTGGAACATGTTTATAGATATGTACAATGAAATACTTAAATCACTGAATCAAGACATAGATGGGGGCTGTTAACAGTGTTACTGAACAGTAAATTATAATTCCTATTGATTCTTCCAAGGAGAATAAAAAACAAGAAAAAAATTCTTAGATCTTAACTATTCCAAAAGCTGTGCCACACATTTCTTTAAAGACACAGAAAAAAAGCACACTTTAAATAATAAATTCCACATAATCTAGAAGACTGCAGCAATAAACTGTCCAAAACTTCTGTGTATAAAACAGCACTATGGATACTGATAAAATACACATGTAATTCAGGTTAGAATATAATGGAAAAGGAAATCCAAATCCCATTTTCATACAAATCACACATCAAATGAAACCTGAGAAATATAACTAATCTACCAAAATAATAAATGTATGTGGCTATATTTAAGAATGGCTTAGGTGTTCTTTCCCTGGTTCTTA